CCCCTCCCGAATCTGGCACCGCTTTCTGCACGAACCGGAGGGACGATGGAAGGGCGGGAAACAGCAACAGCGCGCACCTTCCCCCGCCCAAGTGGGGGACCTCCTCCCCAAGCGCATAGCCGCTCTGATAACAATAATTCAAGCATTACTATTTGCCGGCTTATTGTTATTCCTTCAAGCCGTCCCAGTCGTCCCTTTCTAGCCCATTCCCCCGGGCGGGGGCAGGCGGTCCACATTTAACATGCTCCCCATCCGCGCCGGGAGAGGCCCCGCCCACAGGGGGGACAGAGGATGGGCGGCGGAGCACGCGAGCGCGCCCACAATGTTCCCCCCCCCCCCCTCCCCCCCCCCCTGGAGTCGGGTGGTCACCCCAGACAGGACGCCTGTCCCGGCATCGCCCTCAAACGGATTTGTGCCCGGGGTTTAAATCTGAAGGGGACACGGTTCTGGCAGTGCAGATCAACTTACTACAAGTGTGGTGCCAATGATCGCCGCGCACACTCGACCCTCGCCCCACCCCCCCCCCCTCCCGCTGGTGCGACCACGCCGGAGATGCCTGGGGGTGCGTTCAAGCAAGGCCTGGGGGGAGATTCGGGATCGGCAGTTGCCCTCGGGCACCGGCGGCCCAACCGCGCGCCAGTCACAGGTGCCCCCCCCCCCCCCCGCCAGGCGGTCGCTTCGAGAGGATGGGGGATGGGTGCAGCCGGCCCCAGCCCTGGCCCCGTCCCGTCCTGCCACCCCCTTGGCGCCGCGTGCGCAACAGATTAGACATGGCGGGTAATGTCTCATCGGGCAACTTAACAACAGCAGGAGCCGCAACACCGGCAGCAGCAACATCAACGGGGGCAACACACTGGCCGCGCTAGCAATGTTGGCAGCGGTGCCGGAGAAGTTGCCTCCCCGCGCCGCAGACCATGGGCTCTCTCTCTCTCTCTCTCTTTCTCTCGAGGGTGCCGTTGTTTTCCTTCCGTCAGGGAACTCGGGTGCAAGACAGAGGGGGGATCTGTTGCCCCGAAGGGCCGACCTCGTCAACATTCACGGCGCGAACCGGTGGACCGGTACCCTCTGCCTGCCGACGCCTCTTTGTCCGTCTCACCTGAAGGCCACCTCTGGTGGCGGGATAGACCATGGGAGAAGTTTATTGTGCACATGCATGTCTCTCTGTGTGGTGTGCGTGTGTGTCTGTGTTTCTGTGTGTGGTGTGTGTGTTTGGGCGTGCTGTTGAACTCCCTCACAGGCACCGATGGCCTCGAAGCAAGGAGTCCACACATGCTGTCACACACACACACACACACACACACACACACACACACGCACATGCACCCAGCTCTCGAACGCCAACTTTCACACAGGGGCGCGCGACTCTTACGCCCATGCGCACAGCACTTGCTTTGCGGACGTGCAGCCCTTCGGCGTGCGACTGGCTGGCCGCCTTCTGTCTTTCTTTCACTCTCTATCTTTCACAACAACATAAGTCACACATGGTGATCTACTAAGCTTTTCACTTTCTTGGACTACTAGCGGGGTGATGGGGCCAACTGCGAGGTTCCACGTGCGTTCGTGCGTGCGTGCGTGTGTGTGTGTGTTGGACTGGAAGAGACACACACACACACACACACACACACACGCGCAAGGGAACTATCCTGATGGGCAACAGATCGAGGGGAGGAGCGAGAGGGGCCAGGGGAGTAATACTCCCTCCCCCTCCACGCCCCCGCCCCCCACCCCTCGCGCCATCAGCTCGATCCCTTGCCCGTTCTCTCCATGCCGCTGTCCCCACCATCTCGGCTTCCCTCGGGTCGCCACCTTCGCCTCAGCCAGCCCGCCCTCCCCCCTTCAAGCTCCAGGTGTAGGCTCTCACCTATGGCGCGCCTTGCACTCCACCTTCAGCAGGAGGAGGAGCAAGAGGGACGGCGGGCGGGCGGGCGGGCGGCGGCTGCGGCGGCGGCGGCGCCGACGAGGAGGAGTCCCTAGCGCCTCCATGAGCGCCGCTGGAGACGCTGCTCATCATGGCCATCATGCATGACACTGCTGAACCCGGCGAACCGGCTGGCATCCAGACCCGGAGTGATCTCCTCGCCGGGCCGGGCCACCCGGCCCTCTCGGGCCGCGCCGCGCGGGTCAATCCGATCGATGACAAACGGCTGGACAGTGGCCTCATTGAGGGTGATGGTCTGCTGGTTGGCATCCTCGTCGCCGGAGACGCCGGCGGTCTGCGGCTTCCGGCGATTGGTCCCGGTGGCCGACTTGACACCGTAACCGGAGGAAGAGGCCGGCCGGCGGACCGGGCCCGCGCCCAGCGGCTGGAGCAGGATCTCCAACAGGCTCGGGGGAATGGGCGAGGTGCCCGGGCGGAAGAGGCCGCCCCCACCGAGGCTCGGTGCCTGGGTCGGGGCCGGTGGCTTCGGCGTGGCCACCGGGGTGCTGCCGCCGGAGGTCGGGGCCGGGGTCGGCTGAGCCGACGGCGAGGGGGATGGCGACGGCTGCTCGGTCTTGGGATAGTACCGGGCAAAGGGCCCATCCACCGGGCGCTGGTACACATCGTACCAGGCGGAGCCCGGGTACTCGGCGGCCGGCTGGCCACGCCCTGGCTCGGTCCACCGCCATGCGGCGAAGTAGTCCGACTCCGGCGAGTGCACGCGGTAGCCCCATTGGGCGGCCACGGCGGCCAGATCGCAAATATTGGCCCGGCTGGCCAGGCCCCCTGCCGCGGCGGCCAGATAGACACGACGCAAATCGTCCGCATAGAGCCCGATGGCCTCCAGGCCACAGCCCTTGGTCAGCTGCATGGCCCCGGGGCCGGCGGCCGCCGGGTAGCTGGTGGACTTGATGCTTTGGGGATCGGCCGCGGGGGATGTCTGCGGGGCCGGGGCCACGGCCACCACCTGGCGGCTGTGCACGGCGAACTGCCGAACCAGCAGCTCGATGGCCACGCTCCGGCGCCGATGGGCCAGGCGCTCGGCCGACGAAAGGTCCCCGAGCCCCTGGCCGGTGAGGTCGGCGGCCTGAGGCGCAAAGAGCACCACCAGGTCGCGGGTGTTCTTGGCATCGCCGGTCAGCAGATCCGCCGACACGGCGGCCGCCTTCATCAGGCCATTCAGGTCCATGCCCAGGGCCGAGTACTTGGGCACGGTGGGCGTGGCGGTGGTCGGGGCGGCGGTCGGGGCGGCGGTCGGGGCCGGGGTGCCGCCCGCCGTCGGAGCCGGGCTGGCGGTGGCCGCCGTCGGGGCCTGGGTCCCGCCGATTACGAGCGAGGACGACCCGCTGCCGGCCGGTCCGTCGAGGTGGACGTACCACTCCAGCGAAGGGAAGCGAAACATGGACGCCGCGCGGAACATGGACGCCGCGGCATTGGCCACATGCCCGGCGGCGGCGGCCACATTGCCGATGGCCCGGATGACCTCGACATCGACGGCGCGGGCGGCCCGCTGGGACCGGGCCGCCTCGACCTCCTCCGCGGCATAAACCACGGCCGCCTGGCGGAGATTCTGCTCGATCTGCGAGCGCACCGATGAGGCGCAGTGCTCGCGATCGGCCACGACAAACCACCGAGGAGCGCTCATGGTGCCGGCGGTTTGCAGGCGCCCCTGCACGCCGGTCGGCAGCTGCAACTGCGAGCACCACCCATCGGCACTCAAGCCGGCGGGCGTGGTCGGCACATTGAGCGGGGCCACATAGGTGATGTGGCCACTGGCCGGGTAGGGCTGCTCCAGGAGGTCGGCCAATTCCGGATCATCGACCGACAGGCTGACCCGCACGGTGCGGTAGTCGCGGTTTTCCACATCCCAATAGCCCAGCAGCAGGTAGGGAACCGGGTAGTCCGGGCGCTCGCGCACCAGGTCCATGCGATAGAGGGCCAGCGGGGACCCCATGGAAGCCGCGGCCACGGCCGTAATGGCGGCCGTCTGCTTGACGCGCTCCGGGTCCGCCATGGCCAGAGAGGCGATGTCGGGCGATTGGCCGCTGGTGCCTGGCGGTGGCTGGGCCGCCGGGTCGGCCGCCCCGGGCAGGGTGGGCACCCGCTGGGGCCCAACCATGCCGCCGGGCCCATGCTCGTCGTCGGAGTCCCGGTCGTCGTCCGAGTCGTCATCCGAGTCGTCATCGCGCGAGGTGCGCGACCCGGCCATCGGCAGGTTGCCGAGGCTCTCGGCGGCCGCACGCAGGATGCGTTCCAGGTCCGCTCGGCCGCCGCTGGCCAGGCGCACCTCGCGATCGATCAGGACAATGGCCTGGGCCGGGAGGGTGGCCGTGTCGCCGGGGCTCTGGCTGGTGCCCTCGGGCATGGCGGTGGAGGCAGCCGCGCTGGCCGTCCAGACGGTGTGCGTGCCGCCGGGCGCAAAGACCCGGCCATCGGGCAAATGGTAGGGCATCACCAGGCCGCGATCTGGCGACCCGGTGCGGGGCAGCCCGGCCGGGCGCGAAGGCCCCGGCACCTCCACTCCCGGGCTGGGTGTCGGGGAGGGCTGCGGCTGCTCGATCGGCTCGCGGCCACTGCCGGAGCCGGACCCCTCGCCCGGGATGCTGCCATGCCCGGAGGAGGCGCCATCACTGCCGTCATCCGGGCTCGAGGAGGACTGCGACGGATCGACAATGACCACCGGCGGGCGGGGCTTCACCGGGTGCAGCACATCATCGGGGTTGACGGGTGGGGGGCCCTGGCTGCCGTCCTTCTGCCAGCGCTCCAAGGCCGCGCGCGAGATCTTCCTCAGGAGCCGTGTCGAGTCGCGGAGTTGGTTCGGGTCGGTGGGCACCGCTTGGCCATCCCTGCCGACCCCGGACAGCAGCATGGCCACCAGGACCACGGCCGTGACCAGGGCCACCAGCAGCCCGCCCAGCAGGGCCAGCGTCTTCCAATAGTGCTCGCGCGCATAGTGCAGCATCGTGGCCGGCGAGGAGAAGGGCGACGGCCCGAGGACCGGCGAGGTCCGCCGAGACCGGACCTTCTTGTCCAGCATCGGGGACAGGTTGTTGTCCGGAACTAGGGGCACAGTCGGGGCCATTTGTATGTATGTATGTATGTATGTGTGTGTGTGTGTGTGTGCGGGGAGGGGGGGGGGGTGGAGATGTATAGAGGATGACCACACAGGTGCCGTATGGCGTCAGTCAAGCGGCCTCACGAGCATGGGAAGGGAGCGCGTGCTGCCACGCACCGGGGTCATTGTCGGCAATGACCACCTTGAAGGCCGCCGGACTCGGCGGTACTGACTGCCTCATCTGGATGTGGCCATCCCAGGAGAGGTCGACGCGGGGGCGCGGCGATCGGTCGGGGTATAGGGCGAGCGAGTGTCAGTCGCGGGAGCAAAGCATCGACAGGGATGCGTCTCTCTCTCTCTCTCTCTGTGTGTGTGTGACGGTGGGGGTGGGGGGGTGCATGCGCAATCAAATGGACGCACCGCGTTGGCCTTTGGGGCGCAGGTGTATACCGGGGCCGCGTCAGGACAGGATAGGCTAAGGGGGAGCGAGAAGTGAGGCGCAGAGGGGGAGGGCTGTCGAGGAAAGGGCGTGATCCGGACACCGGAAAGGGGGCGGGGAGGGGCACAAAAGGACGAAGGGAGTTTTTTGGACTGGCATGTCGGCGTGAAAGTGCCTGCGCGGCTTTTATAGACAACGGCCCTCGCGCGGTGCCCGGCGTGGCCAGCGGCCGGGTGTGCGGATGGCTGGTTGCGAGGATGCCCCCCAAGACCGCGACGAGCGAGGCAGCTCCTGGTACGCCCGGGCCTGGGAGCGTCATTTCGGGGCCGCATGTCCCCTTGCCGTTGCCCTGGGCAATGCGGCCGCCGCACCGCCAGTGCACTTGCCGGAGCCCAGTACACGGCCAAGGTCTGCAGTGCCCCCGGGAGCCCATCCCCGAACGTCCAGCCACGGCAACCCTCCTTCTCGCCAAGTGAAGGGTGTGTTGCCCGGGTGGGCCTCCCTATCCCCGGGAGTGGGGATTCACCCTCCAAAGGATGAGAGGCTGGATGGCTAGCGGGACAGAGAGCCCTCTGAGCCTGGTACGAGCTCCTCCATCCCCCGCCCCTCGCCGCCCCTCGCCGCCCCTGGCTCCCCCCCCCCTCTGACTGCCTGCCACATACAGCATCCCACACGGTATGCTCTCCTGCTGCCACATGGTGGCTCTCACAAGACAGCGCACACGGCCAGACACACAAGGGGCACACCCAAACATCCTCCCATCAAGACGCCTAGCGAGCGATAAAAGGGGCCACCGCCAAGCGCCGCTGAGGATCTTCCCGAAAGCCCGAGTGCCCCGAATGACTCGAGCACCGGGCGCCGTATCTCCGCGCCCCCTGCCCACTCGGCCCTCGTGCATCCGGCACGCCCCCCCCCCCCGAAGGCATGGCCACCAGGGTGCCACTCACGCAAGGCCGTGCTGGCCCGTCGAGGCCATGGCCCGGGCCCCCTCTCTGTCCTTCGGAGGGAATAAATACCCACGGTGACCCCTCGGCCCATGCCCCCTCGATCGCGCGAGGACGCCCCGTACAGCATGCACAGGGCGCCCCAGCTTTGGCGGCTCCTGGTGCCCCGTGCATGATCGCGCGCGACAAAATTGCCCTCCACACACGCGGTCCCGCGGGATGTGGCAGCCTCTCTCGGCCTGACCTCGGCGACCCCCGCCCTCCGTTGTCTTCCTCTTCTTCTTCCTCTGCTATGCCCTCATGACTACCCCCTCTCGCCGACACTCGCCGCTGGGCTTGACTGGTTGTAAGTTGCGGCGCTGCCCCCCCCCC